AACCAAGCCTCTAAGGGTACTCCTAAAAATATTCTTTAAAAAAATCCACGCCTCAAATAGACCTCCTAAAAATATTCTTTAAAAAAATCCACGCCTCAAATAGCCCTCCTAAAAATATTCTTTAAAAAAATCCACGCCTCAAATAGCCCTCCTAAAAATATTCTTTAAAAAAATCCACGCCTCAAATAGCCCTCCTAAAAATATTCTTTAAAAAAATCCACGCCTCAAATAGCCCTCCTAAAAATATTCTTTAAAAAAATCCACGCCTCAAATAGCCCTCCTAAAAATATTCTTTAAAAAAATCCACGCCTCAAATAGCCCTCCTAAAAATATTCTTTAAAAAAATCCACGCCTCAACTAGCCCTCCTAAAAATATTCTTTAAAAAAATCCACGCCTCAAATAGCCCTCCTAAAAATATTCTTTAAAAAAATCCACGTCTCAAATAGCCATCCTAAAAATATTCTTTAAAAAAATCCACGCCTCAAATAGCCCTCCTAAAAATATTCTTTAAAAAACCACGCCTCAAATTCTTTAAAAAAATCCACGCCTCAAAGGGTGCTCCTAAAAATATGTAGCTCTTTCTATACTCATCAAAAGTACATATTTTTGGACTTTACATCAAATTTCCCAAAAAATTTTTTCGTTTTGCAAACATTTTTTTTAAATAAATATTTTTGTAAAAAATTGAAATTACCAACCTTTTATGATCCTCCCTTTGTCAAAAACAACTTCTTTTATTCCAAATCCGTAAATTTTGATTTACCTTCAAGCAGGGAAGGATATTGCAGGTTTGCTTTTGTATTTTTGTTTTTTATTGCACTCTGGAGATTATATTTATTTTTTATTGTTGTTGATGAATTACAAAAAAAAATTCACAATGGATGGATGGATTGGTGGATGAAAAGGAACACACTTTTAGTCGTTTTCTCGCGATTTCAAAATCGAACTCATACAAAAAAAAAACGAAAGAATGTAACCGAAAAATTCGTATAAAAAAATTATCGACAATGTAAACACACGCGGATTTTGGGTGGGCGGATTTTTGTTTTTTTTTCTCTCTTTTTTTTAAATGTATTGACGGATTTGCACGACGTCAGTGGATGCAGTTATGCCGTTACTGCAAACTGCGAATGTGAGACTTTAAAAGTTCTCTATGTATATTTTTATTGACGGCAATTTAGTTAGGAACTGAAATAAAAAATATGGAGATTTTAATATATTTTTTTTTTTTGTTATAAAATATAGATTTTTTTATTTATTTTATTATTTTTATTTTTTTTATTGTTAATTTAAATGTATGTGTGCGTGTGCTTCTACAAGTTTGTTTTTTTTTAATTTTTGGCCATGTTTTTGTGAATGCGAAAGAATTTAATTTTTTTCTTAAAAAAGGAAATCCTTAAAATATATTTTTTTAAATAACAACCTGAAAAAATATTCCTTTGCTATACATTATCCGAAAAACCAGTAAGGAAAGTAGTAAAGTCGGTACACTATGCCAAATTTCGTGGAAATCGAAGCATATATAGGGTCGTTGGTGCACCATTTACATAAAATCGGATGATACTATATACGGGAGCTATATCTGAATCTGAACCGATGTTCAGGAAACTAAACTCACATCATTCTAGGCCTAATTCATTACGCTGTGCCACATTTCGTGCAAATCGAAGGATATATAGGGTCTTTGGTGCACCATTTACATATTATTTTTTTTTAATCTACACCTTGCTCTGGAAAATTATTAAAAATTCTTCCCTTTCTATAACCCTTAAATAAAAATAATTAAAAAATTGACGCCTTTCTAAAACCCTTACAAATTATTCTTCAGAAATCCACGCCTTGTCTTCATGGTCTTGCAAAAAAAAAAAAATATTGTTTAAAATTAATCAAAAATACTATCGGACAAGTGTCGGCATTTTTGAGCCAAAGAAAATTTTGCCTAACCAGATGTTAGCCCATCCAATTTGTCTATTATAGAACTTTGTTATAATTTCGGAAAAGGAATTTCCCCATACACGGCAATTTGTAAAATTAGTCAACAGAAAACCGCAGCTGTTTGCATTCAAACACAAAACAACAAAGAACAAACCAAAAGCATGAAATAGTTTGCCTCGTTCATACAACATCATCATCAACAACAACAAACACAACAAATAACGAATGCATCATCTTGAACGGCCACACATAATAAACAATAATAACAACAACAACAAGAAAATGCTATCTTTGTAAGTCAAGTGAGAGTTTACGCCGGAGACTTTTGTTATCACTTGACTACAGAAAGAAAGAAAAAAAAACTCACGACACAACAGATGACAGATGGATGTAGGCATTTTTGTTTGTTTTGTTATTTTTTTCTTTTTCTACTATTGACATACACACTCGCACAATTATCAAACAGTCAGCCAGCCTGCCAGCACATTCTTCACACGAAAGAAAAGGCGTAATTGCGGCGTGGGTGTAGTAAAAAGGAGACCAAGCCCAAACATGCAATTCCCGACACTTTAAATTTGTTTTCCTTTAAGGGGTTCCTTTTCTCCCCTCTCTCTCTCTCTCGCTCTTCCCTCTAACAAAATATTTTGCTTTTGGCAACGTAAAAAAACGGTGATATTATTATCTTTATAACACAATTTTGGCTATCGAAATAAAGACCAATAAACAACAAGAAAATCCTCCACTAAATAAGTAAGCAAAACCCCCAAATGTTGCACATTCACATTAGGTTTTGTTTGGCTTTGCTTTCATTCATGTTATTGTTGTTTAATTTTTTGTTTTTTTATATTCCTTCACAGCCAACAAAAAAAATGAAATAGAAGCAAACATCTGACACACACACACATTCTCCACACTAGGCCAACAGATACTTTTATTGAATTTTCCACTAATTTTTTTCCATTTGATTTATTTTTATTTTTTAAACCAAATTTTGCATAACAATTTCAATTTCTTACAATTTCATTCACTTTTTTTCATTATCATCATGATTATTTTCCTCTTTATATTTGTATAAAAAATATATATGATTTATTTTTTTTTTCACTTTTATTTTAGATACAGCAAATTGCTTGCTGCTTATTTTTTTCACAATTCACAAATATTCAAACGGCGACGACGATGACGACGTCCGTAACACAACCACCCGCTTTAATGTTCATCCGATTTCTGAGGGCAAGTTGAAAAATGTTCGTCTCAAAAAGACGTCAGTTGGTGCTTTTTGTGTGTGGAGCTCTCTCGATTGCTCTCAATTTTTGGTTTTTGTTTTGATTCCCCCATTCGTAAGAGCAACAATTTTAATGTTGGCCAAGTTTAACAGGGTGTCGAAAACATGTGTTGCAATGGGATAGTGTGTCGGCGTTAGATATTTTACATTAGGCGTTGATGTTATGTCTGTAACGCAATACGGGCGTCAAGAGACGGGGTTTGGTCGTTTCGAAAGGGAATATACACATAACATAAGGTTTACATAAAAAGTGTTTAAACAAATTACATTGGAAATTGACGTATTAAGTAAATGACGTATTTTATCGATTCGATCTCTAAAATCTGAAAAATATTTTTTTTTTAAATCCGGCCAGGAAAATATTTTTTTAAGAAAATCGGACATGAAAATATTGTTTAAAAATTCTAGCCCTGAATAATTTAAAAAAAAAAAATTAAGCCCTAAAAAATATTGTTAAAAAAAATCCACCTTTGAAAAATATTGTTTAGAAAATTCAGTCCTAATAAATATCCTTTAAAAAATCCGACCCTGAAAAATATATTTTTAAGAAAATCCGCCCCTGAAAAATATTGTTTAAAAAATCTAGCCCCGAAAAACATTTAAAAAAATCCAGCCCTGAAAAATATTTAAAAAAAAATCCAACCTTGTTTAGAAAATTCAGTCCTAAAAATATTCTTTAAAAAAAATCCGGCCCTGAAAAATATTGTTTAAAAAATCTAAACCTGAAAAAAAATTTTTAAAATAATTCAGCCCTGAAAATTATTGTTAAAAAAAATTCAGCACTGAAAATATTTTCTTTAAAAAATGCGGACCTGGAAAATATATATATATATATTTTTAATCCGGTCCTGAAAAAAATATCCTTTAAAAATTTAAAAAAAAACCAGTCTTAAAATCGTGTTTAAAAAATTCAGCTTTAAAACCTTGTTTAAAAAATCCAGTCTGAATATAGTCTTTAAAAAAATCCAGCCGTAAAATCGCTTTTAAAAAAACCAGCCAGAAATCTTCTTTAAAAAATCCAGCCAGAAAAACTTAAAAAAAAACATCCTAAAAATCTTCTTTAAAAAATCCACAATGAAAATCTTTTTTAAAAAATCCACCCTGGAAATCTTTTTTAAAAAATCCACCCTGGAAATCTCCTTTACAAATTTATAATTTTCTTTATAAAAATCCATGTCTTGCTCAAAAATCTTCTTTATAAAAATCCAAGTCTTGTTCTAAAATCTTCTTTAAAAAACCCACGCCTTGTTTTGGTCCCTAAAAAATATTGTTTAAAAAATCCACGCCTTTTTTTGTCTGAAAATATTCTTAAGAAAACTAGCAAAAAATATTCTTTAAAAAATCCACGCTTTGCTTTAATCTTAAAAAAATCTTCTTAAAAATCCACGCCTTTTATTAAACCCTGAAAAAAATCTTTAAAAATCGACCTGTATTATTAATTTTTCTTGCTATCCATTAAATTGCCCGCCTTCATGTAAACATTGTAATACTCTCCGTTTAAATGCCGGCGATACGAGTGGCTTTGTGCTTTTCAAGTCAAAGGAGGAAACATATGTTTTCTGCCGCAGTTATCATAAACGAATACTGAGTAGCAATTAACCGCTACTATTTACAATCTGACAATCAGCTGTTAGTTTTTCCCAAGAGATTCTCAATATTTTGATAAAGTAAAAGGATTTCTTCGGTTGATTGTTGTGAAATTATTGGCAGTAATATAACAATATTGGAAATAATATTTACTAATTATTATAAATTCCTTACAAAACAAATTTATCGGAAATGTTACGTCTAATAAATCCTAAGGCGCTAAAAGCCGCCATTGGTATCCAGAGACAATGGGTTGCATGCATAAGTCAATCAGCCGCAGTTGGACAGCAATCACAAAGCGAGGAATCTGTTTCATCATCGGAACGTATGTTTTGATAGGATAAATTAAAAAAATATATATTCCAACACAAACATGTTTATCCTTGTTCTATTGTTTGTTATGAGGTTGAGGTTATGTAAACTGTTTTTTGTTTTCTCTGTTCTTTCTTTGCCAGAATTTAGACAAAAACGCATTAAGTTAAATATTAAATCCGACAATGTGGAGGGACGTCCATTGTACTTGGATGCACAAGCCACAACACCTTTGGTAAGTATGAATGTTCGAAGGAAAAATGGATTTTTGTAATGGCTTGTTTTCTTTTTTTGTAGGATTTCCGTGTATTGGATGCCATGTTGCCCTATCTAACAAACTATTATGGTAATCCACATTCTCGCACCCATGCCTATGGTTGGGAAACCGAACAGGCTGTAGAAAAAGCCCGTGAACAAGTTGCGGCAATTATTGGTGCTGAACCCAAGGAAATTATTTTTACATCTGGTGCCACCGAATCGAATAATATTGCTGTAAAGGGTGTTGCAAGGTAAGTGGACAGAACGACTTATACACATATTTTTTATATTTTATAAATTCCTTTCAGATTCTATGGTGCAAAGAAGAAGCATGTCATCACAACACAAACCGAACATAAATGCGTTTTAGATTCTTGTCGCGCCCTGGAAAATGAAGGCTTTCGTGTAACATATTTACCGGTACAGTCAAATGGTATCATCGATATGAAACAATTGGAGGAGGCCATAACACCAGAAACCTCATTGGTATCCATAATGACAGTTAACAATGAAATCGGTAAAGCAATAGCAAGGCCCCAGCATTCAGTTAAATTTTAAATATATTTTTCGATTACAGGTGTAAAACAACCCATTGCTGACATTGGCGCCCTATGCCGTTCCAAAAAAGTCTTCTTCCATACGGATGCCGCTCAAGCTGTTGGCAAAATTCCACTCAACGTTAATTCCATGAATATTGATCTAATGTCAATATCTGGCCACAAAATCTATGGTCCTAAAGGTGTCGGTGCCCTATATGTGCGTCGTCGTCCACGCGTCCGTTTAGAACCCATTCAAAGTGGTGGTGGCCAGGAAAGAGGTCTACGTAGTGGTACCGTACCCGCACCCCTCGTTGTTGGCTTGGGCGCAGCCGCTGAATTGGCACAAAAAGAAATGGAATACGATACAAAATGGATTAATTTCCTATCGAAACGTCTCTTGGATCGTATAACATCGGCCCTGCCACATGTTATACGTAATGGAGATCCCGAACAAACATATAATGGCTGTCTTAATCTCTCATTTGCATATGTGGAGGGTGAATCGCTATTGATGGCCCTTAAAGATGTGGCCTTGTCATCGGGTTCGGCATGTACGTCGGCATCATTGGAACCATCGTATGTGTTGAGAGCTATCGGTACAGAGGAGGATTTGGCACACAGTTCAATAAGGTGAGTGGCAAAAGGAGTTGAGATAAAATGAAAAAAATTTGGAGATTTTTAAGGAATATTTTTTAAGGGACTAATAAAGGCCTTGGCGTGTTTTTTTTAATATTTTTTCCAAAACCAATACCAGGTGTGGATTTTTTAAAGAATATTTTTTCAAGGGCCTACATAAGGAATGGATTTTTTAAAGAATATTTTTTCAAGGGTCTACATAAGGCGTGGATTTTTTAAGAATATTTTTTCAAGGGTCTACATAAGCTGTGGATTTTTTAAAGAATATTTTTTCAAGGGTCTACATAAGGCGTGGATTTTTTAAAGAATATTTTTTCAAGGGTCTACATTTCAAGACCAATACTAGACGTGGATTTTTTAAAGAATATTTTTTCAAGGGTCTACATTTCAAGACCAATACTAGGCGTGGATTTTTTAAAGAATATTTTTTCAAGGGTCTACATTTCAAGACCAATACTAGGCGTGGATTTTTTAAAGAATATTTTTTCAAGGGTCTACATTTCAAAACCAATACTAGGCGTGGATTTTTTAAAGAATATTTTTTTCAAGGGTCTACATTTCAAAACCAATACTAGGCGTGGATTTTTTAAAGAATATTTTTTTCAAGGGTCTACATTTCAAGACCAATGTTTGGCAATTTAAAAAAATATATACATTTTTTTTTTTGATTTTTTTAAATTTAAAAAATATTTTTAAAAGCTTTAAAAAATATTTTTTAAATCGTAAAAAAATCTTTAATTTTTTTTAACTTAAATGTGGAATATTTTCCAGTGAGTATTTGTTAAAACTTATATAAAATATACGCAAAAAATAATAAAATATTTAAAAATATTTTCTGCCAGTATTTTAAATATTTCTGTAGAATATTTCAGTAAATAATATTTATTTATTAACTTTTTTATATGAGTTAAAAAAATAAAATCTAAAATGTTCTTCTTTTTTTCAAGATTTGGTATTGGCCGTTTCACAACCATCGAAGAGGTTGACTATACAGCTGCTAAGTGTATACAACATGTTGAAAGATTGCGTGAAATGTCACCATTATGGGAAATGGTACAAGAGGGTATTGATTTGAAAAATATCCAATGGTCACAGCACTAATTTGTTTTGCCTGAAGCCTAATCTATTAGATTGTTATATATATGACTGCTTTGTAAAAAAATATATATATGGATAAAAAGAAACACCCTTTGTAGATTTTAGAATATATATTCCGTTTTGTTGCCTTTGAAAGGCCCCCTATATATTTTAACGTTCATATTTTGTTTTCTTTGATTTCTTTTAGATTAGTTTTCTTCATCTCCCTCTATTGTAATCTAACTAAATATCATTTAAGCACGGAAAATATAATTTATGCAAATAAAAATAAAAAAACGAGATTCAAGACAATATAAAAATAAAACATAATAAAACAGTTTATTTTACCTAAAAAAATTTGGGGGATTTTAGAAAATTCACCTCAAATAAAAATGTGAACTTTTTTTCGACTCAGCCCAATACATTTCAGTAATAAAAAAAAATTATCTAATGATTAATTTGCCCATAAAAAATAACCACAACACCGCCGATAAGCCCATTAAAATATGTTACTTTTTGTTGTTGTTTTCATTTCCAATATGAAAATAGTTCGCTTTATTTATACAATTAATCGTCCATTGTACCATCATTAAATATTTCTTAACCTAGTGTTGTTTGTATCTTTAATACAAAATACAAAAATAATGACAAGCTTTAAAAAATGGAAATGTTTTTTGAGGTTAAAAGATCGACTCTTTATATACATAAACATGCAGGCTAATACATATGTATAAAAATGGGGAAACGACTAAAATATTTACTAATTCAAATTAGCTATACAAAGGTGATATATTGTGCGATTCAAAAGAAATTCCAAAATGAGGCAACAGCTCGATTTTGAGTTGCTACAAAACATTTTCAATAATTTTACTTAATTATGAAGACACAAAATCAAAAACGTACATATATGTGTGTGTACGTGCGTTAAATGTATATGTGTGAAAGTGAAGAAATCAAATATAATCACTAGTTCAGTTTTTTGCTGTTGTCTATTCACATTTCCAATGCATTTTGCAAAGACAAAGGTCAATTTCAAATTTTGAAGGTTGATTGGTGGTTTGGTTTGTTGATCGTTTCGTTAAACAGGTTTCTAATGTATTTGTGTTACTATGTCACGGCTAAGCTAACTCTCCTTTCTTATTCAAATTACAACACATTTGAAATCCCGTAGAAATTATTTTTTTTCAAATCTTGAAAAAAATTCACTCCTCTTTTAATTCGATTTCTTGGCTGCAGCTTTTTTACTATCACCTGCACCACCGCCCAGCATCTTACGGCGTTGAGCAAACATATGCAAATACAATTGTGGGAACAGAGGAATATATCCCAGCATTACAATCCACAGCAGGGCAAAGTACGAGAAGGTCATATTGTAAACATTGGGCATTTCAATGGACCACACTGTATTTGTTTTGGCATAGTTTTGAGCCCACCAGAAACACAACAACTCACCAGTCACGCCGATGGGATATAGGGCAATGAAGGTGGTATAACGCAGGAACACCAAAATGTGTGGCACAAATTTAAGAATATTCAAAGCATAGTAGCCGTATCTGATGATTTCCGTTACGGACCAAGCGAACAGGGCAATGGGCAGGCCTGGCGACACCTTGGCCGTAGGTGTGGCCATAACAACACCAACAACAACCATCATACGACTAAACACCTGAAACAGCGTCAACACTGGATTCGATTTCACCAAACCAAAGGCAGCATTTAAAATCTCCACAAAAGCGGCATTCTGGAAAATGATCACCGATACGCGAGTGTAGTCCCACAGTGTAATGCTATTTCTAAATTCCGGTCCTTGCAGTAAATAGTAGTTTATCAATTGATAAAGTATATAACTCCAGCCGACCACCTGTGCGGCATTGTAAATAAAAAGATAGCCCTTAACTGCTACACTTTGTTCTTTGGCCGCCGAAGCTGCTTTTCCGGATTTTGGAGCTGCCATGACGTTATTTGTACTTCCACCGATAGACTAAACTAATATGATTGTTGTGATCAGGCTATATGTTATAGATTGATATCGACGTTCAACGTCTATTGGGCTGATAGGTTTTTTTCGTTTTGCTGTTGAAAACCACTTTCACTAGCTGCTGCTTCTTCTTTTTATACATTCACTGGTGGTTGGAGTTAGGGATTTGTAGATCGACTTTTGAATTGCTGGGGAATTGAGTTATCGAGGCATTTTTCACATACCGTTTTTTTATTTTGATAAATTCAATGTTTTATTAACTTTGAAATAAATCATTAAAGCGGATTTACATATAACATTTGATCATGATTAAAGGACGAATCAGGGTTTATTTTCTTAATCAGGCTAAATTTACCATGATTTACCATACAAAATTAAAAAGCATGGTTTATTTCAAATCTGTGTTGTTGAAATAACGCGGTTTTTGTGACAATGTACCAAAATTTGCAACTGTTTTCACATGTTGTTTGTTTTTAAATTTGACGGTTATCAAATACAAAAAAAAAAAACAATTACTTATAGAAATTTTGTGTTTTTCATTATTTTTTTTATAATATCATTCACAGCATTGCAAAAACATTTCCATTGTTGTAATTCTTCGTTTCATGTTCAAATTACAAAGAAATTTTTTGCAGCAAATTTATAATTTTGTATGTATACTAACAAACATCAGCTGATCCGTATTTAGATCACGATTAAAGGCATGTGTAAACAATTAGGTTGTATTTCTGGATTTCGTTAATCGAGTCGATTTAAAATCATATATGTAAATGTACTTTTAGATGTTTATATCATAATAAAAGGGAATCTGTGTTGTTAATAATGACAACAAAATTAGTAGTTGTTGTAGCAGACCTATTGCCTTTAGAGCATAGTCTGAGGTGACAGACGTTGGCCGAGTATGACTCGGGTCGTTTCGGACCGTAGACCCCCTATCGTGGAAACAAAATTAGTAGATTTTTGCAGTTCAGGAAAAGACTTAAGTTGAGTACCCACTATGGGTTTTGACTGAAACATTTTCCATTTTCCCAGCCCCTCATATTCGTCGTTTATCATTAAAACACGAAAATATTCATTGGTAGGTTCATTGGTAATAGTGTGTCCTCTCATGTTCGTCATTCATCAGTTATCTATAAAAGAGAGTAAGTACTCACCTTTATTGATTTTAATTCAGAACATCCATAAATATTTTGTTATAGTACATTTACATTGTACTGGAGTCATTAAATTCAGTAGATCTAAATTGTCAATTCCATTTCATATATGTCAAAAATTTTTTAATGCGTTATTGACTCCTCATTATACGTAAGAAATAACAGCTGTTCCGCAGTTCACCTTATTAATAGACCTTGTGTTTTAGCATTTGTTGTGTACTTTTATATAATCGGCAATTACACAGTTTGCATAATCAAATTAAAACGAAGTTGGCTAAGTATATCTTCGAGGGATAATGTGGCCAGAAAATTTGTTGTTTAGTTCAATTTTTCCTTCAAAAATTACAGCTACCAATTTTACATTTCCCTACCAAATTTACATTTTCCCTGCATTTTTTTATTATATGATTTACTTCAAGAATTTGACAATTTAAATCCACTAGATTTAATAAATCCATTGAAATGATAATGTACTACTTTTCTTCTTTGCTTTGTGCGTTTTGTTTTTCGCCATTTTCCAAACACTTCCATTGTGAATGAATGTAACAAATATGTGGCAACACTTAACATCCACAGCGGAAGTGTTCAGAAAACGCCAAAACACAAGCCGAAGAAGAAGAGCAAAACCAAAATTCTACAAATTCGATGGACAAAAACATTCAAGTTTGGTAATAAATATACAATAAAATAATTGCAGAGAATGAACAACAATAAAGAATCGGATTTGGAATTTGTGAAATTGGTTGAGAGCTATCCAATTCTCTATGCTAAGGAGCATACGCGCGGCAACAAGAATTCCACACTGAAAAATGACATTTGGCGAGAAATAGCCCAGCGTGTAAAGAAATCTGAGGTAGCCTGCATTACTCGATGGAAGTCGATACGTGATCGATTTGGCAAAGAGTTTAGGCGCCAACAACAAAATCCTCAAGATGTTACCAATTGGGAGTTATTTCCACATTTGTGGTTCCTCAAAGATCACTACAAACAAGGGTATGTATCAAATCGAAGAATTTCAATACGAATGGATTTTGTTTCTATAATTTGATATATTTTGTTCCCACCCCCTGGGCTAGAAGTGCGTGCAACAATGACATTGAGTGTATAAAATACGAACCAAGAGTAAAGAAACGTAAATTAAACAGATCGGAAGAGGATGAAGATTCGGGGGAAAATAGTGATATGAAAATATCACCGGAAGAGCTAGCGTTAAATCAAAATATTATTGCACTGGTAAAGGAACATGATGTACTGTATGATCGTAAACGGGTGAGAGATTCGAAAAATTTGACAGCCAAAAATGAGGCCTGGTCGAATATAGCAAATGCCCTTGGTATATCAGGTAAGTGGGCGAAAGTGACGACAAGGGAAACAGAACTGAAATATTATTTTGTTGGCTTACAGAGGAAACGTGCTACAACAAATGGAAGAAACTGAGAGACCGCTTTTCACGAGAATACCGACAAGTCCAACTGAATCCCGATAAACCCGTAACATGGATATATTTCAATGATTTACGATTTCTGGAGAGTCACTACCGGAAAGGGTGAGGCAACATTTCAATTTATAATTGTATTCATTGTTTACTAATATTTGTTGTGCTCTTGTAGAATACCTCTTCCCATCGAAGAAATAAAACGTAAAGAACGAATGTCAGCCGCTACAAAGACGACTGCTAATCAATCCACCACGTCCACCGCACAATCGGAAAATCCCTGGGGTGATGACTTTAGTCATTCCTATTACTCGGATAACGAAGATCACGTTGAACATGAACTAATAGCGGAGGAGACCGATATACAAGAACTGCAGGAGCAGACATTCGATGAATTTCTGCTGTTGCCCAACAAAAAAGAAAGTAAACCCGGCACCCCCAATCCACAAATGCAACACATTACCTACCATGTGGCACAGGATGTAACACCCACGAGCACAACCTATGTAACCACAACGAATGCACCACACACGACAGAGAATAGCCCGCATCTGGATGCCGAAGATAAACTTCACAATGTCATATCAAGTATGGAAAATGTGCTACGGCAATCACAAGATTGTCTGAAGGCTATACAAAACCAAAAGGCCCAATTTCGCTATGAATTGGAACAGCAACACCTCAGCATGCAACCGGAGATGCTGCAAAAGGTACACATACTGCTTGATGGTCTGCATCCCGATCAGAAAGCAAAGGCCGAACGTAAAATTTTACAATTTCTATGTGAATGCCAAATTAAGATCTTAAATAATGAGGAAATAGCAGATGTTGCTCCCGTGAATATATATTGACGACTATAAATTGCTTAGGTTTTAGTTTACTATACAGAAATTAAATTAAAACAGAAGAGGTTATGTTTTATTGTACGTATATATGCTTTTATTATATATTTTCTCTATATTATTTGTAATAATAATAATGTTAACATTTTGAAGAAATACTACATAATGTGTAAGGATGAAAAAAAAAAATAATTCTATAGGGAATAAAAACGTGTAAAACCAAATATATATATATATAAATTTCTTTGGTTATGGGTCACGTGGGATGTTCAATATAGTTTTGCCACTAATATATTAAAAAGGTTAGAGATTTTAGAAACTAATTCTGAAAATTAAAAAAGCGGTTCAATAACGTCTTTAAAGCCGTTGCCTTTTGGTAAAATAAAATAATCCAAGTCGATCAAAAAAAATATATTTTTTATAAAAATAAAATGACGCCGTAATTCAATGCATTGGGCTCCTTTTATGTTGACGTCTGACGGTGTGTTGTTAACAATTGTTAAGTAGTGTACGCATTATTGAACGATTATGTTCTGTAGAGAGAGAAACCCAAACAAAATTATATATTCCCGTTTCAAGAAGTGGTAAAACTTTTCTAATTTACAAAGAGTAAATAAAAAACAATCTCTATTAATATAAAATTCTTGGAACATAACAAATGTTTATAAGCGGCAGTTCGATATTTGAGTATTTTGTGAAATTTTTGTAAAGAAGGATGAAGTTGTGTAACAAGCGGTCTGCTCCCGGACTGCAAGAATCTAATAATTTTTAAAATTTTTCGATTTCTATGAAGTTGGCGATTAATTTAAGGTGGGTTTACACTATTACAAATTTAATGGCACCTTTTTTATATCCAGTTTAATGTGGTCAAACATTAAAAAAAAATTATAAAACACTGCAAGAATTTACTATTTTTTTTTAACACGATAACGATTTTTCCTTTATGATATCGAAAAATTATGGTAATAGAATATTAAAATCTTGTAGACCAATATTTGGTAAGTTCCCGTACTGCAAGAATCTACTATTTTTACTCCGATAACACTTTTTTCCTTTATGATATCGAAGAAAATAGTAAAATCGAGTAGATTCTTGCAGTACGGACAGACCAATTGCCTGCAAGAGGTCTATTCAGCTTTTCCCGTTTAGAAACTACTACTTTTTTCTACGATAACGAATTTTCCTTAATGTTATCGAAGAAAATAGTAAAATCTAGAATGTGAATAGACTTCCTGTAGACAATATTGGATCTGTTCCCGTACTGCAAGAATCTGCTAATTTTTACAATATTTTTGATATCATAGGGAATGTTGGGTCTGTTGACGTACTGCAAGAATCTACTAATTTTTGCAATTTTGTCGATATCATGAAGGAAAAATCGTTGTGGTAGTAACAAATAGTAGATTCTTGCAGTTCTGGAACAGACCATATATAGATCATACCATGGTACAATTATAGGCTACAAGCAAATTTACATATAACATTTAATTACGATTAAAGGATGAATCAGGGTTTATTTTCTTAATCACGCTGAATTTACAATGATTTATCATACAAATTTAAATCATCGTGCAGCAGGTTTTATTTTAAATCATGATCGAAATCATAATACTACTGAAATGCAACGCGGGTTTTGTACGAAAAAAATACAACCCTCTCACAATGTACCAAAATTTGCAACTGTTTCACATGGCGTTTATTTTTAAATTTAACGGTTGACAAATACAAAAATAACAGATCAAAGAAAAATAAAAATTAATTATAGAATTTTTGTGTTTTAGGTGTTTTTTTTACTTTCCAAACGATCAGAGTATTGCAAAAACCTTTCCATTGTGGTAATTCTTCTATTCTTTTTCAAATTGTAAACAAATATTTTTGGCGCAAATTAATAATTTTGTATGTGTACTAACAAACATCAGCTGATCGGCATTTAGATCATGATTAAAGGTATGTGTAAACAATTAGGGTGTATTTCTGCATTTAGTTAATCGACTCGATGTAAAATCGTATATGTAGATGTACTTTACGTTTAGACTACTCAATCTCAAATGTCCATTGCGTGCACGTCACGTTAATCCTGTTTACAAATCCAGTTGATTATATGTAACGTATACGCAATGGAATTGACATTTGAGATCGAGTAGATTTAGTAAATCTAAACGTACCTATACAAAATAGGTTAGCTTTTGTCAGAAAGGATAACATACACCTTTACCTTGTGGGCTATAATGTCAGAATAAACAAAAAAATGGAACAAGTCGTTCTGTTAATTTTACATATTTTTAAATTTTACCAAAAACGCGAAAAATGAATGGAATGTCAGGTTTTCTTTTCAAAATTGAGTTGGGGATATTCAAACAAATCTATTTTCGAATTTTTTATATATTTTGTTATATTTTTCAAAACATTACACACACAGTCACACATTTTGTAAATGACTTTGACCACAATATAAGAAATGTTTAATTTATAAGTTGCTGTGGCCTACCTTGAATAATTGTAACATTTTTTATAATTTTGTTATGATTGACTACATGAAATTCGATAAAAAAAAGTAGCCATTAAAATTGTATTGTTGTGTGTATACCCCCCTTAATTTATCGTATTTACGTCAATAAATCGATAAGTCGTAAAATGAACGTATAGATCCCTAATTGTGACAATTTACAATTTTCTCGGTGATATTTGTGGGAAGATTTTTTTAATAGGAATTGTCAAATTTATTGTACAAAGAAACAGAAAATAATTGAAAATCAAAATTTACATTAAAAAATAATTGGAATTAGTGGATTGGCTTGGTTAATCGAAAACAAAACGAAGGTGTTTAAATTTTGACGGGAGCTGAAAAGTTTGGAAGACGACAAAAAAAGGCAGATGAAGTGCGTCTTTGTATAAGTGTGTGCGTGCGTGTGTGAATGACAAGAAGAGTGTCAGACATCGGTGTGTGCAAAAGTGCTGGAATTTCAATTTAAGGCAAAAAGCCGACATCAGCAGCAGAAGCAACGACGACAACAGAAAAAAAGAAGAGGAGAAGAAAAAGCATTGAAGAGGTGTAAAATCACAAGACAGACATACCAAAAAAATAGAAAAAAAGAACATTAACCGAAAAGGAATAAAACATCAAATCAAATACGACTGGTGTTGTTGGCCGCAACACTTGCTTTAAATGTTGCCGATGTTGATTCATTAATTTCGCCCCATCATAATTGCCTTTGGTGACGAACAAACAAAAAACGTAATCTATCTGAATAACTCAAAGAGGGCGGGGTGTTGTTTTTTTGATATTGTAAAAACAGAAAAAAACGTCAAGGAGGCCCCCAGTGCAACGAAAAGAGAAAGAAAAGAAAACTTCACAACTCTACAACCACATGTTCTTTTAGTTGACAGCAGGAGAGAGATTTATTCCTTTTTTTGTGTTTATCATCATCATCGCATACACTATTGCTGTTCAAAACATAAGCCGGTCTTTCTGCATTTATTATTAATTATTGCCTTGTTTTTGAAAAAAGTCGAGAATTTATTTCCATTGGTGGTGACTACAGTGAAATAATTTTTGAAACGAAAAAGCTATGATTTTGTTGGAAATCAATAATCGTATCGTCGAGGAGACGTTATTGGTGAAGTTCCGAAATGCCTTGGCCGGGTGAGTAATCAAGATTGATAAGGGGCGCACAAACTTATTATCGTAATTCTTCATATAGTATATAGGTATATGTTTGTATATATTTATGTTATTTATTTATATTACTGTAGTATTTGTGTATAAAATTCGGGTGTAGTTCTTTTTGTTGTTGTTGGCTGTTGCCTGTGTTGAGATGGCAAAGCAAAAGCATTAGCCATCCATAAATGCAGTCATGTATTTATGTGTGGTTGCGGGTGGGGGAGGGAAGGTAGTTTTTAATATCGCCGGGGTGTTTGTGGTGGTGTTTTGTGAGTTTTTATTTCAATTTAATTCAAAATTGTATTTATTTTTTTTTTCAAATTTATTAAATTTGCCAATGTTTTGTGGTTTTTTCTTATATATTTGTTGTTTAAAATTATGGAACCACAATTCTGAAACACTGGCCACACTCATATATGTGTTTCACATTGTCCAGTACCGACGAATAACATGAGTCCGGTCACGAATTGTTTTGACTTTGATTAAGACGGTATAATTTTTCTTGCAAAAATCCGTATTTCTGGAGATATGGACCTCCATAGTTCGGTTCGAACCCTTGTTTTTCTGATGATATTTTAAATTCACAACGACAATATTTGTATCAATTTTAAGCATTTGAGGCCCTCATTACAAAAATTTAATTCCATTATCGAAGAAGTCCATACTTCCCGAGTTATGGATCTCCATTATGGCTTTAACGATTAAATGCATTGATTAGACACACAATGTTTTTTTTTTGCCATCTGCCCACAGGATAAAGTCTTAAATCCCCGGCAGAGGGTAAGCCACCCTCTAATATTATTCTATTTAAAAGGAGATTCGTGTAGCCGTAGACAGTAGACGTTTGTCCCTGTACCTTCTTCCATCTTGGATCCGTCTGTATAGGAGCCAGACCGTCCAGAGCAGGGTTACATCGGTTCCAGTCGTCTCTACTAGGAACAACGACTGGTCAAATCTCAGGACTGGTGATATATAGTCGCTTAGTTTTACGCGTTGGCACAAATGGAAATATGAACATTTTGGATAAGATGAATAGATTTAAGCAACTTGCTTTTCTTGCTTTTAATTGGTACCCATATTGTTTTTAAGAACATTGAAGCGGTCTTCGATAAGCAAGTTACATTATTGTAATCGGAACTTGAAACGCATCAAAATGATACCAACAAACATCATGAGAAAATACAAACGTCTATGCGGATTTCCGGAAATACAGATTTTCGCAAAAATAATTTATAACATTCTAATTTATAACATTTTTTAACAATCAGCGACATGTTGCGGAATAGTTCATAGTTTAAGAACTATATTTCTTTGCGGAAATTCATATTTCCGGACGTCATGCTTCTAGAATTCGCTAATGCATAAATGTTCATAGGAGAAAGTCTTACATCTCCAGCCGAATGTCTGGTACCAACACAAAACCTATTCTATTTAAAGGAGATTCCATAGCGGAGAAAACAGATATCTAACGAAGTATGGCCTTATAAAAAAATATATGAATATGGATATCAAATTCAAATTGATATATGGATATCAATTAAAATATGGAATTTAAATTAGAAGGCCTTATGTTGGAAAAACTGATTTTTTTTGTAAGAAAATAAAGTTATTCACTTTATATTTCTAGTTGCTTCCACCTGGACATAGTCTCTTTAATTCGATATCTCCAGTTCTCCAGTTCTTTCTTGGCTGGGACGGCTTTTATATGACTGAGCAGACAGCTTTGCCTTGTGAACAGCTGGGTGTTCTATAAACAACCGGTGATACTCAGTACTCCCTTTGATTGAATTTCAATGCAAATCATGTATATTCTAAAGCACATCTACATAAGACAATGAAAAGATTCCAACACTAGATATGAAACACAATTCCTATTATATTTGTGGTGACGTTTTTAAAATGGTACCAGGCATTAATATTGAAATGAATTTAATCAATTTCCATTCCACGTAGAACCCATTTTATATTTAGGGTTCCGTCTACGCTTCTTAGCGTTCGAAATACTTGTAATTGGGACAACATCTGTGTTCAAAATTATTCCAGACCAGTTCCCAAATTGGACTTAATTTTTGGAGATCAGTTTAGAGAGCAATTTACATGCCGATTAGCAGTCTTATTTTTTTTTTTCAATGACTCCTTTCAACTTGGTATATTTTCACACTCTCATTGCCTAGATGTTCATTCATCCTTTTTGCAACTGTATTGAATGAGCCACATATCCGATTAATTAATTTATTATTATTTCATATTTTGAATGATCATTTGCAGAAGGGCTCAAAACAAAAATCGTCAATAAAGGTCCATGTTTTGACATGGTCACTGCAAACATTTGCAAAAGCACTCAACCTTTTTGTTTCCTCATGGTGGATATTTTATATTTTTGTTAACAATTCTAAATTTTATAAACGCTGCTTTTATTTCAAAGCTTGGAGCTTCTGAAAATATGTTTTTCAAAAAATTGAAGCTATTTCTAGGAATGATGGTTTCAATAAACAGCGTACCTTTTTAATAATCCTTAAATTGTAGATATTCGTTTATCATTAACACATTTTTTATACAAAGCATGTTATTATTTTGTTTATGCAAATTTATTGGAAACATTTTTCCAAACAGGAAAAGTCCAATTACAACTGATCACAATTCTTTTATTCGCAACAAAATACACAGAGCTATGCTTTTCTATCTTGTCTTTTCAAAAAAGGCATATATTTTTTCATTAATCTTTTCACACATGTGAAAATATATACAAACCAACGTGCATACATATGTCCACCACCATCAACAAATTCAAGCTGCGTTACTGATGATGATGGCTTTGACACACAAAAACGATGAATTGTGACGTTTCCATACTGCATTAAGATGACTAATAAAAATAATGCTGGCTGACTGGCTGACAAACTGACTGATAAACAAATTAATATTGTATTGTTTTGAATATTTACGTTCATCATATGAATTTATTGTTTGTATGTATGTATTTACTATTCCACTTCATTAGGCAAGACTTGTGTGTGAGAATATATTTGTTTGAATATTCTTGGTCGGTTGTTTCAGTTGCATTCAAGTAATATTACATTTATTTTGATTGCACTTTTATTTTACTTTCTTTCATTTTAAACTATTGTCAAATGCAACCATCATCTGTTCACACTAAAACGATAATATTTTGTATGAGTCATGACAGTGTAACACCGCCTCAAAACTTTAGTATAAAGGTAAAAAGGTTGGTATAAAGTCATAAGCGGTTAATGACTGTAAAGTTGATCTGCATGACTTTATTGGTTTAGCAGGGACATAGTTAAATAAATGGGAACGAAATCTTTTATGAGTTCGCTAGAGGGGTTCGCCCGAGGTTGATCCCTCAGGTTGTAAGACGATATATTGGTTATTGCATATAGTCTTAGGTCTACTGCGATTAAGTCGGCAGCGGATGGTCTCAAAAGCCTAGGAGCAGATTTTATCGGTTCACTCTAAATCCAAAATGTACCAAATTTAGTGCCATTTAGTACACATTAGTAGACATATTACATACCTACATACCCCAATCCATTTTAATACTTTTCGGATACTTATAGTTCGAATGTTCATCATTGAGAGTATAGAATAGATATAGCAACTATTCTATACTTCAACAGTGGCCCTAATGTAAAATTTAAGATTTCTACCTCTACCGGCTCGCCAAATACAAAGAGTACCGCATTTAGTACTTTTTAGTTCTTTGCTTCGTGCTTTATCTGTCACCTTTGTACCAAGAGTGACTCTCACCCAAAATTTCAAGATTCTAGCTTCTGCCGTTTCGTCTGGCCGTTAAGGGATCATTAAGTCAGTCAGTCCGTCAATCACTTTATCCTTTTATTAGTATAGATAGCAACAGATAATTTTAGAACTCTTTTAATTTTGTGTTCTCAATTTTCACATATACTACTGGAAAGGATACCACTTTTTAATCCTTCGAATAATATCAAGTGAGACCTCAGTAGCATTCTCTTTGGTCTTAATTATTTCTTATCTATTCTAATACAAAAAAACTTCACTTTATCTATTGACAATGCAATTGTGTTATCTCATTGAGTGATAATTTAAAAATATATATTTTTTATAATGTAGTTAATATTTGTTTATATGTATATACTTTTAAATATACATATATATTGTGGCCAAGTGACTAATACAAACAATTTCTATTTATTTACAGATTAAAACCAGAATCAATAGACATAAAAATAGCAGACTTTGATGGTGTGTTATTTCACATATCCAACATAAATGGCGATAAGACTAAAGTTCGGGTAAGTAACTACATACATACACACATACTACATATGTATGTAACGAATTACCTCTAAAATGTTGTGTACAACAGTCACGCTCAAACACCAGTCATTTTAATTTTTTGCTTTGCTTTTTTTAAATAATTTCTTTCAGACAAGCATTTCTTTAAAATTCTATCAACAATTACAAGAACATGGTGCCGATGAATTGCTCAAGCGTGAATATGGCAGTCTGTTAACTGAAACGGAAGATGGTAAGAAACATATGGAGAAATGCAATTGTTTATTACCGCTTTTTATTTAATTATGTATTTATGTACTTTTAGGCTATAATGTGTCCGTACTTATTAATTTAGAAGATATACCCGATGATTGGGAACAAGTTGCCAAAAAGATTGGCCTGCTGAAACGTAATTGTTTTGCGTCCGTTTTTGAAAAATATTTCGATTTCCAGGAACAGGGTGAAGAAGGCCAAAAACGTGCTGTTATCAATTATAGAAACGATGAGACTTTGTAAGACTTTGTGATTTATGAATCTATTCAAAATAATGTTTATTATTTGTTGTATTTATTTTGCAGGTATGTTGAGGCCAAAGCGGATCGTGTTACTGTTGTTTTTAGTACCATATTCCGTGATGAAGATGATGTTGTTATAGGTAAAGTTTTTATGCAAGAATTACGTGAAGGTCGTCGTGCATCGCATACTGCACCACAAGTGCTCTTTTCGCATCGTGAACCACCCTTGGAATTGGCCAATACGGAGGCTAAAGTTGGCGATAATATTGGTTATGTTACATTTGGTAAGTGGAGAAATTAACTTTTATTTATATTTATGGTATGAATGAGTAGAAATATTGACTTTTAGTGGCGAAGATTTTGTTTTGATACTTAGAATACAGTCAAACAATCAAGTAACAAATGTTGATCGTTTACATGACAGGAGGGTCTACAATCCATGACAATGGTTGTAATATCTAATATAATATATTAATAATGATTTGTTTTAGAGTAGCTATGATGTAAGGTGGATTGTTTGTAATTATATATAAATTGGCCATTGAATTTATAAGTTGGCTTCAAGGCTACATAAAAAGAAAAGGAAAAGTCCAGTTTATCGATACAGGGATTGTATTTACAGCAATTATTGAGGTGCGTGTTTAAGTTAATTTCAAGTACTGGTTCCAGGTCATTTAATTTTGAGAGGACTTTGTGAAGTAGGGGAGACTGGGGCACCTTCGGCACTTTTTTTTTAGAGCTCTATATCTCAGTACTTATTCAACATATATAACAACTTTATGCCTGATTATTGTCCTCTGACTCTTAATTATAAAAAATAGTACCAAAAAGATATTAAAAAATAGTATTAGTTAAAAAATTTTACAGTTTTGTAAAAAAAGTCAAATATATGTGCCCCAACCCGGGGTACCTTCGGCATTTGATGGGGCACATTCGGCACCATAGTCATAGCCGGGTAATTGTCATCGCTATCAGTCTGGTTGAAATTCTGAACCTCTAAAGGCTCTATTTGGTTTTAATACGCCACACAATGTTTGAATTATAGGGCTTTATTTTCTAGCGGCGGACGTTTACGTCTCAAGGTCGCACACACCATCAGAAATAGAGGTTTTCTATCACATTTTCGTCAATACAAGCACGTTTGAACTTATATATGCAATTTCGAACCATATTAAAGGATTAGTTTTAAAAACAAACTCAAAAACATTTTACGGAAATAATATTGCACAAGCTGTATATGGCCGAATGTGCCCCACTTTTAAATGCCGAATGTACCCCGAATGTACTTTTTATAGTTTTTTCATTTTTTTGATCAGATATGTAAAAACATTATATTTTTAAATATTTTTATAATAATACACATCGTAGTTAACCACTTTTTAATAATATTGTCTTAAAATTTTTAAAAGTTTTATACACGAAATACTTACGAAATGGAATTGAAATATTACAGAAACATCTATAAAAGTACAAAAACCTATGTATCTAAATAAGCTTATTAGCTAGAAATTTCAAACTTTGTGTCAGTTATTTATTTCGATATTCGATACCTATGTATCGAAACTAGTGATATACGGTAAGAGCTTCATATCGAAAACGCGATTGCCGAAGGTGCCCCGATGCCGAAGGTGCCCCAGTCTCCCCTACGCGTCAATATGTACAGTTGCTTATATCAAGGTGTCCGTCTGTTCATGGTAAATTGTAAACAAAGTACTGGTCGCATTTTTAATTCGAATTGGATGAAATTTGGCACAAGCCACTTATTTGGCCCAAGGACGAACCCTATTGAAATTGCGTTAAAATCGGTTCAGATTTAGATACTGCTTCCATATATATTTTCGTCCGATTTTATGTAAATGGTGCCTTTCAATTTCATGTCAATGTTCCTTCGAAAAGGCGACGTTTATTAGGATACATATGTAGAATATAGCCAAAGTGGTGAAGGGTATCATATAGTCGGCCCAGTCCAACTTTACTACTTTCCTTGCTGGTTATTGTAAAATGAAAATAGTTATTGCATTTTATTTATATAATTCAATGATAAGATGTGGTTTTCAGTTTTACAACTACAAATCCTGGGGTTTCTATATTATTAAAAGAATAAATAAATATGGAAATAGTCCATATTTATTTTTGCAGTAGGTCTGCAACAAATATGGATGGCAATTAGTTCTTTTAATAACATACCAACTTCCTTCTTTGAAATATGGTTGTGTTCAACGGAGTTAAAAGTGGGACATTGTCATTGAACCCTTCTGTAATGTCTCTCAGATACTCCTACAAAAAACATTTTGCAATATTAAAAATGACGTACCTAATTAATATCAACTTTTATTGTGCGTATGGGTTTATTGCAAAACATTTTAATATCCTTCCACATTAAGGAGGGACTATTATATTCGTTAGAGACCCCCTAAAGTATATATACTCTTGGTCAGAATACAATTCTTTAGACATTTTCGTCTGTCTCTCTTTTTGAAATAACGTTAGAGATCGCAATATTTAAGCTATCTTTGGAACATTGCTACTACTCTTAGGTTAGGTTAAGGGATGAACGGAATCGGAAGATTGGATGACTGTGAACCCGCTCGAGCAAGCTCGTCGGCAATCTCATTCCCTTCTATGTTGTTATGTTCTGGAACCCCACAAAATTTAGCAATCCGATTACGATTTGCAAACAATTTCTATTCTTTTGTATTTACATTGTTAGTAATATTTTCTTCTGGGGAGTTAAAAGTGGGTTATTTCTTAAAATCCAAAGATTTATCTCTCAAATACTCCTAGAATAATAAATGCAATGTTAAATGGATTGTCAATAAATCTAAACAGTCAATCCGATCACGATTTGCAAACAATTTCTTTTATTTTTGTATTTGCTTTTATCTTCTGATAAAATGTTGTTCTGGGGAGTTAAAAGTGGGTTATCTCTCATTATCTTAAGATTTATCTCTCAGATACTCCTAGATTAAAAATGTAATGTTAAAGGGATTGACAATAAATCTAAGCAGTCAACCCGATTACTATTTGCAAACAATTTCTATTATTTTTGTATTTGTTTTTTTAATGTATTCTCTTCTGGTAAAATGTTGTTCTGGGAGTTAAAAGTGGGTTATCTCTTATTGTCTTAAGATTTATCTCTCAGATACTCCTAGATTAAAAATGTAATGTTAAAGGGATTTACAATAAATCTAAACAGTCAATCCGATTATTATTTGCAAACAAGTTCTATACTTTTGCATATACATTTTTAATATTATTTTCTTCTGGGGAGTTAAAAGTGGGTTATTTCTTAAAATCCAAAGAATTATCTCTCAAATACTCCTAGAATAATAAATGCATTGTTAAATGGATTGCCAATAAATCTAACCAGTCAATCCGATTACTATTTGCAAACAATTTCTATTATTTTTTTATTTGATTTTTTTTATTGTATTCTCTTCTGGTAAAATGTTGTTTTGGGGAGTTAAAAGTGGGTTATCTCTTATTATACAAAGATTTATCTCTCAGATACTCCTACATTAAAAAATGTAATTTTAAAGGGATTGACAATAAATCTATGCAGTCAATCCGATCACGATTTGCAAACAATTTCTTTTATTTTTGTATTTGCTTTTTTTATTGTATTCTCTTCTGATAAAATGTTGTTCTGGGGAGTTAAAAGTGGGTTATCTCTCATTATCTTAAGATTTATCTCTCAGATACTCCTAGATTAAAAAATTTAATGTTAAAGGGACTGACAATAAATCTAAACAGTCAATCCGATCACGATTTGCAAACAATTTCTTTTATTTTTGTATTTGTTTTTTTAATGTATTCTCTTCTGGTAAAATGTTGTTCTGGGGATTTAAAAGTGGGTTATCTCTTATTGTCTTAAGATTTATCTCTCAGATACTCCTACATTAAAAAATGTTATGTTAAATGAATTGAAAAGAAATCTAATCAGCCGATTCGATAACAATTTGCAAACAATTTCTATTCTTTTGTATTTACCTTGTTAGTAGTATTTTCTTCTGGGGAGTTAAAAGTGGGTTATTTCTTAAAATCCAAAGATTTATCTCTCAAATACTCCTAGAATAATAAATGCATTGTTAAATGGATTGTCAATAAACCAAAGCAGTCAATCCGATTACTATTTGCACGCAATTTAAATTATTTTATTATTTGATTTTTTTTATTGTATTCTCTTCTGGTAAAATGTTGTTCTGGGGAGTTAAAAGTGGGTTATCTCTTATTATACAAAGATTTATCTCTCAGATACTCCTAGATTAAAAAATGTAATGTTAAAGGGATTGACAATAAATCTAAGCAGTCAATCCGATTACTATTTGCAAACAATTTCTATTCTTTTGTATTTACGTTGTTAGTAGTATTTTCTTCTGGGGAGTTAAAAGTGGGTTATTTCTTAAAATCTAAAGATTTATCTCTCAAATACTCCTAGAATAATAAATGCATTGTTAAATGGATTGTCAATAAATCTAACCAGTCAATCCGATTACTATTTGCAAACAATTTCTATTATTTTTTATTTGATTTTTTTTATTGTATTCTCTTCTGGTAAAATGTTGTTTTGGGGAGTTAAAAGTGGGTTATCTCTTATTATACAAAGATTTATCTCTCAGATACTCCTAGATTAAAAAATGTAATGTTAAAGGGATTGACAATAAATCTAACCAGTCAATTGTTTTATATTTGCATACAGTTTTTTCCCCTTTTTTATGTTTTAAATTGTAATTTCTTTTGGTAGAATCAGTTCTATGGAGTTAAAAGTGGGTTATGTCTTACTACCCAAAGATTTATCTCTCAGATACTCCCAAATAAATAAATGCAATGTTAAAGGAATTGAAAAGAAATCCAACCATTCAATACGACTAATATTTGCATACACTTTTTTTACTTTCTTTCATATTAAGATGTTTTCTTGGAATAAAAAGTGGGATATTTTTTTTCGTGTTTGTTCTGAAACTTGTCTCTCATTATATTCCAATATTAATTTTATCTATAAAACGGAGACTTGAAAAAGCATGTATATTAAAATTTCATTCAATACATGTAGACATCGTCTTGAACACTTGAAATACAATAATATTGTAAGTTATAGGCATTAAAGACATATTTTCAATATAAATATTCTAAATACGAAATTTAGATTTATATATATATATATATATATTATATATATACCTGGAGACTATATCTTTAGAATTTATCTACGTGTTGTACTAATATAATAATTATATATTCGCTCCATGTGAGATTTAAAAGTTCTAAAAAAAGTTGAGCCTTTGAGTGAGAGATACAGAAGGAGTGAAGCAATAGGTGCCTATTTTAGACATTAATTTTGTTCAAATACATATTTTTTTTTAATATTTCCATTTCGTTAATTCTAGAACTCCGAAAACTAATTAAAATTTTACTTGTCTATTTATTACAGTGCTCTTTCCACGTCATACTAATAAGGAAACTAGAGATAATACCATTAATTTAATACACATGTTCCGAGATTATTTACATTACCACATTAAGGTTAGTTTGAAAACTTTAACCATTTTTATTTTTTAATTTATTGATAATGAAAATTATTTATCTACCCTCCAACAGTGTTCAAAGGCTTACATTCACTCAAGAATGCGTGCAAAAACTTCAGATTTCTTAAAGGTTCTTAATCGTGCAAGACCCGAACATAAGTCCCTTGAAAAGAAGACCATAACGTAAGTTTTGCATAAATATAAATAAACTTTAAATATTTTAATTTTATGTATATATTTATTTTTATATTTTTTATAGGGGGAGAACATTTATACGCAAAGAATGATTTATGGACAATGTCTAGTTGTTTTTTTATTAATGTATTAATTTTTTGTATTATTAAACGAAATAAATCTATAAACAAAATGAAACATCAGAGAAAAATAACAACAATAATAATAAAGTGAGAAAAACAATTACAGTTATAATTAACATTTCCAAAAAAAAAGAATAACAAAAAATTCAACATCGCCATGAGGAGGAAAATTCTCATAAAAATTAAAAACATTAACACGAAATTGTTTAATAATAATAACAAGAACAACAACAAAGAACATACAACGCCAATATCTTTGTCGCAACCAAATTTAAGGTATTCCAAAAGTTTAAACTTTGTCTTAAAACAAAAACAAACAAGAAATCATGAACATGAAAACAAAACAAAACCAACCAACACACACACATATATATATACATACGGAACTATGAACTAATAACAATTATTATTAATAATAATGTGGTTTAACCCTTAAGAAAGAAAACAACACAACAATTGTAATAAAAAATATATAAATTTTAAGTTTTTTTAATTGTATTATTTTTTTTTATTTGTGAAAAATCAAACAAAACCTAAAAACATAAGCTAAAAACTAAACAGTAAAATTTGTTAACAAAAAAATATAAATTAATAATAATAATATTTAAAAACGAGAAACAACAATAAAAATGCAATCCAAAACTTTCCTACAAAAAAAATCCGAGAAACAAAATCCCTGTGTGTTTAATTTATTGCAACTTATCATCTGTAAATAGCAGATAAACAGTAAACATTTTATAAAAATCTGGTTGCTTTATATTAAGAGAAATGTTTCAAATCTGATTACAATGGTTCAGGTTATATTATTCAATATGGAGACCCATTTTATCATTGAATTATAAATATCATTGAATTGGATCTCCAAAGCCAAATAATGTCGACATTAGAGGCTGCCATCCGAAACGGCCAAAGTCCATTGGGGCTGTTACAACAACAACTCGTTTACCCGTAGAGTAAAACAATGAGTTCCTCAAGGTCGTTGAAGAAAATTTTTCCACAACCGCTGGACAGTATGTGGAAATCGTAATTTATATGGACCATGGTTTCAGATCATATTATTGATGACATATCGCTTATTTGCTGCAAGAGAGGCATAATTCAAAAAACGTGATTTTCGAGTTAATGATGCACGATTGTTCGCTATAATAGATCTCATGTTGTGTAAAAATTTATATAAATATCTCTTACACACTCTAATTGAGAAGCTGTAAAAGTTCCTCTGTCCCATATACAGTGTGAGGAGATTGAAAACTTAAAACGCATTTTCTGCAAAATAGTTTTTTTTTTTGAGTTTTGCTTGTCTTGCAGCAAATGAGCGATATGATATTGTAAATTTCCGTCATCAAATCCACAGCCACGCTGTTCACCAATTGCTGCCATGAAACGAGAAATGGATTTGGCTGCGGATTTATGGTTAACAGGGAAAGACCGCGTCTCCAGATTCACTCCAGTAGGTTAGCGAATTGCTATAATCCGCATAAAAGAGAAGTTCTTATACATCAGTCTTATTTGCGCCCATGCTCCGACGGAAGACAAAAATGAGCAGACCAAAGACATATTTTATGAGCGACTTCAGACCTGGCAAATTCACTATTGGCATTTGACAGCCCACTCCGTTCAGAGGAGTTTAAAGCCATGCCTGCGATCGGCATTCCGGCGAAATTAATACGGCTATACAAGATAATTTTAACAGGCACAATGTTAGCAGTTAAAGTCGGAAAGGACCCCTCGCAGCCCTTCAATACCGAACGAGGATTTAGACAAGGCTGGAAAAGGTCATACGAGATGCAAATGTGAACAGAAATGGTACTCTGTATACAAAACAACACATGTTTCCTGATATAATGGGTCGAACTTTGCGAGCGCTAACATCCACCTTTGAACAAATTGAGAAGGAGTCTGCCAAGGAGTCTGTCTTGCAGTCAAATGGCAAGAAGTCAAGCTTATGGCATTTCGTGCAAGACATCCAACTGTGGATCTTAAGAACGAGGTAGTCATAGATTTTGAAATTCGGAGAAGGATAGTGTTGGTCAACAGATGGTCTTTCAAATTGGAAGAGCTGCGCGCAAGCCCAATAGGCCTCGAAATCTTTTTTAAGCTCGGCTTATGAAACAAATGTTCTGTTACAAGCCAGCTATGTAAGTAATATTTCTTCTGAACTTAAATCAATTTCGAAGATGGTGAAATATATTTCCAATCCTTTTGTTACCTCCCACACATTGGGTCAAATTATTAATAATTTAATTAACTTATAATAATTAGTTAATTCTAAATCAAGTGAATGCAATGCCCGGTTTGACTCAAGTTTTACACATCATAATACTTTTTACCTTGGCCAGATCAAGTCCGAAGATGATCATGGTGTCACTCCTTCTGCTACCCGCCACAAAGAATCAAAATTTTGAAAATTTGTTAATTCAATGTGAGACGAATGGAATGTACGATTTAAAACTGCCTGAGAAGTACTTCTAAAATACAGGTCACTAGACAAGAGAATGGGGTAAGTAATAAATTTCAAATTATTATTATTTTAAATATAATTTTATTAATACTTGTTTGTTTTATTTAGTTATTTTGCAAATACATAATAAAAATTACGAAAATGTGTAGTTTATTTTTGTCGTTATTATTGTTGTCTTAATTATACTTTAATATTATCAATTACACTTATATGATTATTTTTATTATTAATTTTATTTGGATCCTTATTTAGGCTTTCAACACTGTTGCATTGCTTAATTAGATAATTGGAGAGTATATATTCAATGGCTGTAAGAGAAGAGAAACAAAAAAAGAGAGAAGAGAAAATGTAAGACTATTATTAATTAAGGAAGAAATTGAGGTTATAATTAATCAAAACAAATTGAGGTTAAAATCAAAGTAAATTTAGGTTATGATTCATTTTTTATGTCTCATGTTAGTTATTATTATATGTTATGGTTATGCTATTTTATGTTTAATATCTAAACTACATAATTGCGCGTGCAAGTACAGTTAAAGTCATTAATTAATAGCTTACCTTTGATTTTTTTAGAAAATGAACACCATTTGTGGAAATATTTTTGGATTCTTTTTTATTTTTTGGTTTTGTAAATTATGGTTCATCATATTCTTCCAATTTAATGTAAGCAAGTGCTGTGAAAGGGGTATTGTTGGGAAAAAAATTTTAAGATTGAGGTGGTTTGTTGATGTATAGATAATGGAATATACAAAAAGAAAAAAATGCAATTTTCAATGGAAGAAAGAGGAAAAATGTGGGAAAGAGAAAAAAACGTGTGCTTAATAAAAATATTTACAGATTTGAATAGAAGAAGAATAAGGTTTTTATGACAGATAAATCGAATAAAAAGGGATTTATAAAATGCCACAAAATTCTAATTTTATTTTTTGGAAATAAATGTAAAGTAATATAAGAAAAACTAAAATCTAATTTAATTAATGTGTAGTTTTAAAACATTTGAATATAATAATTATTTTACAATACAGATAAAGTTCAATATTGCTTATTATGTTTCTGGTGTTTAACACTACAAATAACAATGTTTAATATTTGATTACGACTGTCGAACTTTCATAACTCGTGCTTCGACTTGTTCGAAGTTCGACTATATTGCTTATCGTCAGTTAAGAGGGGGGTAACACATAAGAGGATTCAGGCTTGGCCTGTTAAGTTTGCATTGTATGAAATGTCAATTTATAAAGAAATATCAGCCGAATTATAATGCAAAGCCTCAAGTCCTCTTATGTGTTTCCCCCCTTTGTTTTGTTTTGTCAGACAAATGCAGTTCTGCATTTTAGCAACAATTTGTTTGTCACGCATTTTATTTTCCATAATTTTTGAACCTTTGCATAAACAAAACAAAGGATATGGAAATTTTATTACCGATTTTCTAAATCTAGAGTAGGCTTTGTCATAATTTTACGGTTTTACAAATTACAACCATAATTATGACAATCCGTTCGTTTTTCACGATTTTGATAATTCTTGTGTATTGCTACAGGTGGATATTCAAAATTTATTTTTGATTTTTGTTCCATGGGATAGACAATATGACCGCCACCACCTAAACCACCTAATCCATGTTGTAATAAAACTATTCTTGTACTATGCTGAGCTAATAGAACAATATGATCGTATTTTTCGGGTTTGTTATATTGTTGTTGTTGCAATTCATCGGATGATGATGATGCTGATGACGATGACCTCCATGCCATGTGGGCATCATGTCCATATGTTGGACTATTATTATTGTAGAAGTGACAAACTGTAAAATAAAATTTGATTTTCATTTAGATTGGAGTCAATAGGAATCAATTTTAGAATATTTTTTATCTTTCTAATAAATAAAAAATCCGACTGAGAGAATTTATACTAAAACTATATTTCATAAGCAAACGATTAGGTTTGTCACTTCATCTGAATTAACTTTTTAATTAATTTTTTTTTCTAAAAAACTGTCTTCAATCGGGGTTTTAAGACTTTCTCCTCTTAACAGGTGGCATGTTAAGTTTCGCTAGCAGAATTTTCTTTTAATTTAATTTTTTTTCTAAGTAGTGTGTTTTCGGCTGGATATTTAATATATTCTCCTATGGAGAGGTGGAACATTTTTCTTTTAATTTTCAATATAAATAAATTGGATTTTTTTTTGCAAAATTTTGTAACACCATACCTTTGGAAGTATGAAGCTCTCTCCCAAAAAATTAATATGGTTTTAATCACTATAAAAATTTACGGATTGTTGTAATCAGTATCAGAAGTAAAAATTCCAGCAAAATAGACATGTTGCAAAAACAGCTTAGATTATTATAACTGGATCCGCGAGTAGAATATCGAAAATTGCTGCTGAACGCGATGTTGAACTTAAGGCCTCTGTGTCTTAGCATTAAGTGTCAGGCAGAAAGTAGTGTCCTAAGGCAGCATGAACGGAATTTTTGGCGCCACAGACAACATCATCGTAGTGGCAGTGGGCCAGCAAAATAGACATGTTGCAAAGAACAGCTTAGATTATTATAACTGGATCCGCGAGTAGAATATCGAAAATTGCAGCTGAACGCGATGTTGAACTTAAGGCCTCTGTGTCTTAGCATTAAGTGTCAGGCAGAAAGTAGTGTCCTAAGGCAGCATGAACGGAATTTTTGGCGCCACAGACAACATCATCGTAGTGGCAGTGGGTCTGATAAATGACGTAACCTGGCTACGCGTCATTTCATTCGGCTCAGACCCCTTTCTCTTTCGAATTTGGAAGAAATAATGGCAGGACGGATGTCACATTTAACGATGTAATTGCAACAGACCCGAAGAGGTACTCGTGTTATTTTAACCGGCAATTAATCGAATGATGCATTTTAAAACACATACAAAAATATTGATGAATGTCTCTAAGAAGGCAACAGATCACCCCCTTAACATTGCCTGTTACGATCCTTATTCATATTTTTCATAAGGTATAGGGGTTCTTTAATTGAGAGTAGGGTCCCCTTAAGTTACGGGGTAATCAATATATCCCCATTATCCGTTTTTTTCGGCCAGTTTTTCACATAATTTGATATTTAGGTTCTCATTGGGTGTGAAATCTTCGAGCACCTCGAGAGTGACATGGCGAAAAGGAGTGTACTCCGTTGCTAAAGGATTGGCGAGGAGATACCACCACAATTTCCGTTTTTTTCGGCCACTCGGTACTTTTTTCGGTACTCCGTTGCTAAAGGATTGGGGAGGAGATACCACCACAATTTACGACAATTTTCTATATTTTTGGGATTTGGGCAGAGTTTTAAACCAAATTGAAAGGGAATCTCCCCACAAAAAAAATTATCAAATTTGGTCTACGCTTTGGGGGTAGTCCACAAACATTTTCTTATTTTGGAGGCTTGGGCAAGTTTTTCATCCAAATTGGGTTAATTTAATATTTTGGATATTCAATGGGTAGGAAATAATCCCGAATTGGGGTAGCTCCTATGTAATGGTACCTTCCAAATTTTGGTAATTTGGTGATATTGAACACGTGTTGCAAGCAATTTGACCCTAATTTGGTATTTTGGGTTTTCATTGAGTAGAAAATATTCTTACAAAAAATTATAAATATTAATCCACGTTTTGGGGTAGTCCTCATACAACGGTACCGCCCATATTCGGAATTTTGGGGATCTTGAGCACGCTTTTCAACGAAATTGACTGGAAATTAATATTTTGAATTCTCAATGGGTAGAAAATCTCCCTGCCAAAAATTATTAATATTGGTCCACTTGGTTGAAAAATATGACCAATCACCTCAAAATACCGAAATCTGCGAAGTGGGTTTATATGACAGCTAAGCTAAAAGGTGGGCCAATATTTATAATTTTTCATACAAAGATTTGCTATCCAATGATAATCCCAAATACCAAATTACAGCTAATTTGATTCCGAAATGGACACGAAATCCTTGTGATGTGATGCAGTTGTATTGGGCGCCACTCAAAAAAAGTGGACCATTATTATAGCATTTTTCTACCCAATGAGAACAAAAATTTCGAATTTTGGGAAAACTATTATATGGCAATTTGAGAGGTGTCGTTACATGTGAACTATCCCAAGAAGTGAACCAACATTGATGATTTTGGGAGGTGCAGTTATAAGAGGACTGTAGTGTGTTGTGACACCTTGACATATATATGCCCATAATTGCGATAACTCCATACGAATGGCATTTCTTCAACTTAATCATGGGGGAGAAAAAAGTTACTGACCTTTAAGGACATTTATCATGGCGATTGGCTGCTTGATGGCATTTCGAGTGAAAAAAAAACAGAAGGAATGCTAAAATACATGCAAAAAAGGGCTTGGCGGCTTTACAACAACAACAAATATAAGGTGTTACCATTATACAAAATATTCATATGTACACATGTATGTTTGTATATGGAAAATGGCACACAGACATATTTATACATAGTTCTGTTTTTTTTTCTAAATAGTTCATGGAATTTGATAGGAACAAAAATGAAAGATATTTTACAATTAAAAAAAGGATATTGAAAATTTATATACAATTTCAAATACAAACTATATAACAAACTGTACACTATAAAAACCGTTATTAGAATTTAACTATTTGTTATTGATTGGGATTTTTAATATATATAAATAATTATACACATTTACACATGCCTAGTTAATTAAATTTTTTTAAATATAATATATATATATTGTTTACATTATTTTTTTATTTTTTAATATAGTATATTTATTATATTATATATATATATTACATTATTTAGAATTTTTTTATTATTTAGAAATAATATTTTAATTTTGAATCCTTTTTTTAATATTGTATATGAATCTATTAAAAAATATCCAATCAATAATAAAAGGTATTTTGTAATAACGGCCGTTATGTTATGTATAAAAAATAATTTAAGAATTAAAAAAAATAATTTTTTAAAAAATTGAAAATTTCTTACCTTTTTGTAAATCCATATCATCCATTTCGGAATTTTTAATTTGTTGCAATTTTTCACGAAATTTCTTTGTGATCTGTTTACGTTGATAGTCGGCCTCGATTTCCTGTTTTGTTCTTGGTATTCGAAATCGTACACAACAACACACCATTATAACTAAAATTAAAAAAAAAAAATTAAATATAAAATTTAAAATGTTTTATTAAATTTAATTTTTTTTTCAATCTGTTTTGCCCTATTACTTATGCTCATTATAATCCCCAGACATATGGCTATTATATGCCAAACACGAAATCCACCAATTGTTGTCTTTTCCAGCCATGTTGAATCGGGATTTACTTCCAGAAAATCTTGATCCTCGTCACTCATAGCAAAGTTTTGATTTGTTTTTTTATTTAAAGATTTAAAAACAACAACTTTTTTGATTTTTATTTTATTTATTTTTTTGTTTGTTATCCTTTTCGTTTCGATGATGATGTTTTTGATTCAAAAGTTCGCCGCAGACTAAAATTTGAATAAAATGCTAAATGTGTTATGACCTATCCTTCTGGTGGCGGGTGTGTGTTATTGTGTGTGCGTGCATGTTTACTGGCCACTTACGTTATCATAAAGATTTATTTAAAAAATACAGGGTGTGACAAATGTTGGAAGATTTGAAAATACTGCCGGAATTTGAGAGGTGCCTTTATAAGGATCTACCTTAAAAGGGGCTTCAATATTGTTTATTTTTGATAGAAAGATTGGCTACCCAATGAGAACCCAAATTACAACCAATTAGGTTGTTGGATGTGTCGTTGCATTGGGCGCCACCCAAAAAGGTGGACCAATATTGATAATTTTTCTTATGAAGATTTTCTACCCAATGAGAACCCAAAATGCCAAATTATAGACATAGCGAATGAAACGTTCTCAAGCTCCCCAAAATCCTGAATTTTTGGGGAGCTACCATAAGAAGTGAACCAATATTGACAATTTTTGGTAGAGAGATTTGCTACCCAATGAGAACACAAAATATGAAATTATGGCCAATTTGATTGACAAATGTGTCCAAGCTCCTTTAAAATACGAAATTTGTCAGGTGGGTTTGTCTGGGAGCTACCCTAAGATGTGGACCAATATTGATAATTTTTGGTATGGAGATTTTTTACCCAATAAGAATCCAAAAAAACAAATTGCAGCCAATTCGGTTTGAAAAACGTGTCCAAGCACCCAAAAATAATTTGCGTTGTATTCGGCGCCACCCAAAAAAGTGGACCAATATTGAAAATTTTTAGTAGGAAAATTTGCTACACAATGATAACCCAGAATACGAAATTACAACTAATTCGATTGAAAAACGTGACCAAGCTCCTCAAAATACAGAAATTTGGGAGGTGCCGTTATGTGGGAGCTATTCTAAAAAGTGGGCTAATTTTAATAATTTTTGGTATGAAGATTTTTTACCCAATAAGAATCCAAACAACCAAATGGCAGCCAAAACTAAGATGCCGTTGTATTGGACGCCACCCAAAACAGTGGACCAATTTTGATAATTTTTAGTAGGAAAATTTGCTACACAATGATAACCCAGATAACCTTTATATAGGGGCCGCCCTAAAAAGAGGACCAATATTGATAATTTTTGCTGGTAAGATATGTTACCCAATGAGAGCACAAAATACCAAATTGCAGCCAAAGCGAATGAAAAATGTTCTCAAGTTCCCCAAAATACCGAATTTTGGGAAACGCCGTTATATGGGTGCCACCATAAGAAATGAACCAATATTCATAATTTTTGGTAGGGAAATTTGCTACACAATTAGAATCTAAAATACATCCAATTTGATCGAAAAACGTGCCCAAGCTCCCTAAAATACCGAAATTTGGGAGGTGCTGTTATATGGGGTCTATTCTAAAGAGTGGGTCAATATTGATAATTTTTGGTATGGATATTTTCTACCCAATGATAATCCAAAATACCAAATTGCAGCCAATTCGGTTTGAAAAACGTGACCAAGCTCCTCAAAATACCGACACTAAAAAGTGGGCCAATATTGATAATTTGTGGTAGAGAGATTTGCTACCCAATGAGAATCCCAAATATCAAATTACAGCCAATTTTGTTGAAAAATTTGGACAAGCTCCCAAAAAAAACGACATCGAAGTCCACGTAAGTCGATGTTTTGCGGGAAAATGGTAGTTCGACGTATAGTACTTCGACTGTATAAACTTTTTGGGGTCTCCGAGGAATATTTCGAGGTGTTGTAGCGAAATACATTTAATTTACATTTCATCTTATTCAAAAAAATATTTTCTTTAACTAAATTTTCAATATTTTCAGATAGTTTTTGGAAATAAAAAAAAACAACAACAAACTGCTTTCTTTTTATTTTATTTTTTTTTCATTCATTCGAAAGATAATTTATGTGTGTACATTGTTGTTGTTAATGGTCAGCTAAACTTGATCGTAAATAATTCGTACACCCGTATAACGTAGACTTTCGTATAAGTATGTTTGTATGTATGTGAAAAATGTGTTGTTGTTTTCTTTTCTTTCTTTTTTATTTTGATAACCGCAATGAGTTGAACAGCACACAACACTTCACATAGCCGTGATCGTCTAGTGGTTAGGACCCTACGTTGTGGCCGTAGTAACCCAGGTTCGAATCCTGGTCACGGCAATGTTCAACATCCAAAGAACATTGTCACGGGTGAAGTTTTTTTATAAATAATATTATTTTTTATAAAAAACAATTAAAATTAAAAAAAATACACATTTTTTTAAATAAATATAAAAAAATAATATTGTTTATAAAAAATACTATTAAAAAATATTTTTTTAAATAAAAAAAATATATTTTTTAAATATTTTTTTTTAATAAAAAAAAATTATTTATAAGAAAATATAAACAAAAAATTAAATAATATTTGTTTTGTTGAAAAAAAATTAATAAAAACATTATTTTTTATTTAAAAACATAAAAAATTTAATTTTTCATAAAGTTTAAATAATAAAAATCAAATTTAGAATTAGCCAATATTAGCAGAAGGCTATGTGATCTTTATAAGAACTCAAATATATATATATATATATATATTTTTTAAATATTGGTTCACCCTGTATTCCTCATCCAATGCTACTACTATCTTGAAAATAAAAATCCTTATGGTCATGATAGTTTTTTCTATTATTATTCATGCATACGCGCAACGCTCATTCACTTTAGAAGGACAAACAGGATTTATGTATGTATGGCACAACATACAGCCCACCTTCTGTCCTATCTATTTGTATGTATATGTATGCGTGTTGTCTCGATGTCCTGTTGGCTATGTCGCAATAGAAACGAACAAACAAAACACACATCATCATTATCACGACCAAAACTACTAACATCATTGCCATCGTCACATTAACACCTACACAGCAAACCACGAGAACAATGTGTTCTTCGAACATTCGACCTGGTTGCGCTAGGAAGGAAACAAACAACTCACCCAACCAATGAGGAGTGTTTCCAGTAAGATAATGTTACAGTGTACGTATCATTTTTAAACAATGGGGGGAAAGAATGACATGGAAGTTTTTGGAAATTTTTACTTTTTTTAAATTTAGGAATTTTGAATTTAAAAAATTCACGCCTTAGATAGTACTTACTTTACATGGCTGGCTTGTTTCAGAACGTTTGTTCCATAGTTGAGCTTAAAAAAGATTTCCAAGCGCGTCGGTCTTGCGCGCATCTCCTCCAATTTAAAAGACTACGTTTCAAGATGTTGTTTTCTACTTAGTCTTTCCATATAATTCGTGGCCTTCCCCTTCTACGGAAACTATTAATAGGATCGCTTTTATATGCTTTTTGAGTTGGGGCATTCTCATTAATTCGCAGAACATGGCCCAGCCATCGTAGTCGCTGCAGCTCAATACTAGTCAGTCGTATTGATGTCGATGCCCGCGTATAAATTGTAAAGCTCGTGATTCATTCGACGCCGATATTCACCGTCGACCCAGATCGGCCCGTAGATCTTTCTGTGTCGTAGATCTTTCTGCGTTTTTCACATCAGTAGCATTACGATCGTACCATGGGTTTCTTGGTGCTGGATTTTGGTACCCAAGTGTTTGTAGGGAGTGGCCAATTCCTTGCGATTGTGCTTCTATACAATTATCGGGACAAAAAGTACGTTCGTCAAGCAGTTGGGAAAGTTGAGCGGAGTAGGTCTCGACTAACTGGAGACGAGGTCTTTTATTCTCCTGTTAACCATAAATCTGCGGCCAAATTCATGTCTCGATTCATGGCAGTTATAATACAGTGCGTAATCGTCTGATTTACTTACGCCTGTTCCTTTCCATCGCATTTGATGTAAGGCAATAATATCGGCTTTGTACTTCTTGAGTACATCCGTCAAAGCGAAAACTGCCCCTCTTCTGTACAAGGTGCGCACATTCCAAGTGCAGATTCACAGATCGTGGTTCTTTATACGTTTGCGGGGGTCGTTATCATTGAGTGGGTTTGGTTTTCTTTTTCTTTGCTTTTTCATAGTAGGATGGGTTTTCCGAGTGTAACTAACCCATTTTTTATAGTTCTTTTGGGTGAACTCACGGCACATATTAGCTCACTATTTCCACGGGTGATGAAAATAGCTACCCCAGGTGACACCGCGGGGTGGTCAGTGTCCACAATTGAGATAAAAGAGGAACCAAGATAAGCCTGGACTTCGCCATGTTAAAGCCAATCAGAGCCGTTGTTTGGTATCTATTATGCCCTGCGCCACCTTAGATAGACCTTTGAAAAAATATTCTTTTTAAAATCACACTTTTAAAATAACCCACTGTGCAGGATGTATATTAATGGCAATATGAAGACCAAAGAAATGCAAAATATTTCTTTGGACATTCAAGTGAACTACATACATACCTATCATTGTTAAGTATGTAAAAGCAACAGTAATAATTACTGGAATAACTATGCTTTTCAAACATTGAATACTCAGAGAAAAAAATTAATTCTAATTACAGATTTTGTTTTTACGCTAAAAAACTATATACTTAAACTACTTAAGCTAATACTTCATACTATGGGGCAGAGCAGCCCTGGGTCCCCGTATTTATATCAACTGTTCTCCACAATCGCATGTTGCACGCCTCGATCACTCCGTCGTATGGGATCTGAGTGATCCGGCAGTTTTCGATATCACCGACCACATATCGGTCATTTGGTAGCACCCTGCGCACCTCATAAGGTCCCCTAAATTTCGGTAGCAATTTTTTGGTAACCCCTACTGACGTATCAATATTCTTGATCACCACAAAGTTTCCTTCCTTAAATACGTTGACTTTACAACACTTTTCCTTTGACCGTTGCTCATTATACTTCTGCGTTTTCACTATAGCTGCCTCCGCTTTGTCTCTTATGTCC